AATGCGCTTTATACAATTGATGTGTGTATGAATTGTGATAAGAGTTGTATGAGCCCCTAATAAAATGATTTAAAAAAAGAGAGAGAGACCTCGCACTTCCTGTCTGCTCCAGCTGCACTGTGGCCAACAGTGAGCTGCACAGCGGTGCCCGACACTATGGTCCAGGGTTATGGTAGCTTGTGGGGGGGGGGGCTTATTTTCCAGGAGGTCTTATTTTCGGGGGATGGCTTATATTTCAGCAAGAGGCAAAACTATAAATAAGTTTTATTTTCGTGGAATGTCTTACTTTCGGGGAAACAGGGTAGAGGAAAATTGTATGTTTCATCGTTTGCTACACTCCACCCTGACTGGCTCATCTCCTCCCCGCGACCCTTCTGTAAGGGGATGTCCAGTTGCCTACAAATGGGTCTTGCATCCCCAATCTGCACTCCCGCTCATTCACAATTATTTGATTTTTTGTTCTCTGATGCCTGCTACCTGATCCCTTTGGCACCTCGTTATCACACAGACTGGTGTGCTTCTTCCATGTGGGTTTTGTTGCTTCTGAGCTAGATGGCTGCTTGTTTACCTTCTAGTCTTTAAGACCCTCGATGCTATCTCTTTTGATAGCTGGGCTCCATCAGCTTTCTTCACCACATTTGCTTATGCACCCATTTGTCTTCAGCGATCGTGTTGGCAAGGTGAGCATCATGGAATGCCAGTTTAATAGAAAAAAGTATTCTTGCATTGTGGGAGTACTTGAGTGGAGACTCAATGTCCATCTGCTACCTTAATACTAAACCTATAAATATGTGCACAGAGATTTATTTCCCAATCCTCATATATAAATATATTTACATATGTACATGCCTGTATTTAGACCTCTATACATGCCATTTGCCATATTCTCTTTTCACACACTTGTGCATACACATAATGATATGGTAGAGATCAAAAGCAAACTATTTAAAAATAATGTTTACTTCAAAAATGGTATTCTTTAAAATATTATATCTCTTTCTTCAGGCCCCTTTCAAATTTAATTATTCTGTTAGAGTCTCAATTTGTATCCATGTTAAATTGTAAAGCTAAAGTAGATGAAACTTTTTGGTTAGAGAAAATATAAGTATTTTCCTATATATAATTTTTAAATACTACCTTTGGGGATGTGAGTACCAGTATTAGGATGAAGGAGTACAGAGTAGGGTGCAAGAGATTAAAAATTAACTGTTAAAAATAAATGCAGGAAAATATGTATATATTCTCAAGAATATACAGTAACATCTGTATCAAATCACAATCAACCATAACCTTTTTTACTTCATCATCAGTAAGGAGTTTTACACTTAACTGTTTACAGGTAGACCCTGACTTATGAAGATTTTAAGTAACAACAAAACGCATGTCCATCTGTTTTGTATTTTTAGTTTCTGGACATTTTATCAGTAGTAATATGGACCACAAATGATGTTGCAGCATCTCATTTGCCGAGGTATCATTCCTCCTTGCTCACTGCTGTTGTTCAAAGACTGGACTTATAAAGACACTGATGACAAAAGGCAATCATAATGTAAACTCAAAAGAAAAAGAGATAGTTGACCTGTGCCGGAGCCAACGTATCACAGGCATTGGAGTGGAATCCTGTCAGAAGTCAGGGAATAATGGTACCTTGACGTGCCCACGTTTCCGTGTGACACTCTTTATTTTCTACAGATACTACTCTGAAGTTCTCAGATGAGAGATTTTCTTAATTCTCGTGCTGCAAAGAAAGGCACTAATGAAGAGACTATCAGTAGTTCTCCTAATGTCCCGAGTGAATCAGAGATGGAGAATTAATATGTGACAATAGTTAATTTCTCCACTAAGTGTATATAAAGTGTTCATCTAATTGGTTATTGTAAATAGTGATTTATTCAGTGCAATGCGTGATATTAGGTCACAATTGATTTTTCCAGAAGGACATACAGAGACCTTATAGCATCTGCACTTCGTTTAGCATCAAACTGGCTCAAATTATCATACTTTGAAATTTAATATTCTTGCTCCCAGCACTAAGAAGTAGTATGACAGTGCAAAGTAGTCAAAGAAAGGCTAAAAATGCATAACTGAAGTTGAAGAATAAGGTTCAAAACCATATGATGAGAGTGACCGTGATAATTACCAATTAGAGTGGAGATGAAGGAGGAATTGGGGTCAAAAGGACATCTGCCCCTTCCCCTCTCAGATCTGTGGGATTCCAGGTGGAACAGGGGCTCCTTCGAAGAAAAACAGAAAAGACGTTAGGAAACCGTCAACTTTGATAAGTATTTGATTGCTCAGATAACATGGCTCAAATCTTGATTAATTACAAAACACCTTTCGTAAATACTTAGGATAACATCACAGTTTTTATAAGAATGAACTGGATTTTTCAAAGACCCTCGTCATTCTCTTACTCTTCCCAGAAAACACACGGGTAGTAAAAAGAATGACATCCGTTTTTTACCACTTGATCAGATACTGTTAGTCATTTTGAGATGTGCCAGTGAGATATTCCGATGGAAGTGAAACTGGTGAGAGCAGGTTTACTCAAGAAGGAGAAGCAAACAAGGAAAATGGACCCAAACCAAAAGCCAGTCTCGCTGTCATTGAGTCACTGCGGATTTACAGTGACGCCCACCCCACCGCCGTGGGTTTCTGCCAATGTCCGTCATTGTGTCCAGGAGCAGAAAGCCCGTTCTTCCTCCCACAGAGCTGGCCCTGGTGTCAAACTTTGGACCATACAAATCTCAGCCCGATGCGTCACCACAACACCACCAGGGATCCTGATAAAAATGGAAATTGGCTTTTATTCTAGGCAGGACATCACTGATTTTTGAGTAGTTTGTTCAATAATTAAGTGTTCAATGAATATTTTGAAAAAGTTATTTTCAATTACTTTTATTCTTTATCACCTAGTCTTTGTATACATATCAAATATCTAATTTCTTAGAGATATCTATCACACAAAAAATTTGTGTATATATATGCATATAACTAAATTAACTTCTGATCAGTATTTCCAGTTCTAGATTCACACAATGAGATACTTAAAATATTTCCATGATAAACTACTACTTTTATCATCTTCTATTTCATATCACACAATCACAGAATTTTTCTCAGATGTTCACAGATTTCAAAATTCGTAAATGATTTTTTAAAATTAATTTTTATTACATGTGCTATAAATGACTTGGACATAGTTTGGAAATGTGGCAATAAAAATCAACGTTGAACACCAAACTACTTTGCATCAAATATTGCTGATAATAATTATGCTCACCCATGTAGTGTCTATGAGCCTCGTGCCTCTATGACAATGGGCCTATCAACAATCTTAAAGCCCCGAATCAACGCTGAGTTGATCTTGACTGTCCTAGGTCCCGAGTTCACTCTCAAGCATCTACTCTCTCTGTATCGGGCCATTCTCAATCAAGCCACTTTCTGCTTCCTCTTTTTTTTTTTATTATGGAAAGGTGTATATTTGTACAAAAGTACATATACACATATGAATAAAAAAATAACTACAATAAAGTGAGTAGATACAAAAGTTAAAAAGAATAATTTGGAGGTATAGACTTAGTGTTGAGGGTTGTGGAACTGGAACTTGAAAGAGAACCTAGCCGGCATAGTGGTAGACTCTGTCTACTCCTTTTTTTATGTTTAGATCATTGTATTAGGGGCTTCTACGACTCTTGTTACAATCCATCCATCAATTGTATTACACTGAAATTGCAATTGGGATGCTACCAGAACAAAACCTTCTTTGTTAATTGCAAAGTTTAGGTGACTCATATTTCCCTCCAGTCTTTTCCTTGTAATTGAACCTCAGCTTCTGAACAAAAGTGGCCTACTGATCCCCAAAGGTGTGTGTGGCGACACTGCCCTGTTCAGCCAAATGGTTTACTACTTCGTCAAGGGCACACATTCAAGAGAATGCCTGGAAGGATTATGTGAGTTTACTTCCCATTGATGACAAATTTGCAGTGATAAGGGACGACAGGGGCTTTTTAAATTAGAATGACTCCTCTACAAAGCTACAGAAAAGCTTCACCCAAATTTGCAAAACATGCCCAATAGGATTGTGATGTGGAAGAGTACATGATCCCTTCTATGAACATGCGACTTTAGTCATTTTAGAATTTTCAGGTAAACACAAGACACATATCTGCGCAACACGAGGGAATTTCAAAATATTCCTGGAAAAATTCCATTAGTTTTTTTTTTTTCAAATCATTTTATGGGAGGGGGGGCTCTCAGAAATCTTATGACTATCCACCATTCAACTGTATTAAGCACACTTGTACATATTTCCATCAATATTTCCAGTACATTTTCTTCCTACTTCAGCCCTTGCATTTTTCCATGAATGTTTTGTAGTTGTCTTGTCCATGAAGTAATTTGAGTCTCTGAAATCACATATTCTTAGAGGAAACCTCAAATTTGACTCTGAAAATTCTGATGAGAGATAAATGCCTCAGATCCAAGGTTCATTGTACCTTGAGTCACTGTTTCCCACCTTTAACCAAGAGAGTACAAATACTGATCTCTCATTAACTCAATTTATAGCTAAAATGGATTAACAAGTGGATCTCCTCAAAGCATGGTCAAGCTGAACTGATTTTTTTAATCTGCTTTTCCATCACTGATAAAAATTCATATACTTTAGTATCCTAAAACACATCCATATGTAAATATACCATTTTTATTTTTAAAGTACTTGTGTACTGAAATTGCTAATTTTTCAATTCAGTATTACTTTTTTTAAAAGACAAAAATATTCCTACTTTAAGAAAATACTATTCATTTTATATACAAAGGTGGGGAAAGGTCCAATTACTTCCAAGGTTATAAGGATATTTTCATTTTACCCATACACTTGATTAACATTCTGAATGTCAAGTAATTACAACATTGTAGACAATGTTAACTTAGATTAAAGATTGGGATATTTTAAACATTTGAATAACTAAGTTTCAATAGATATTTTGAAGCTCGTAGCATTTGGAATGAAACAATCATTCATTGACTCAAACATCCATATGTTCTATAATCCCCCAAAGTAGCACCTCAGACAGGTCTTTGCCTCTGCTTCCAGCCGGCGGGGCATCTGAATTGCTGCTATTGGATGTTACCCAGCTGTGAAAGCTCCGCATGGCTGTAAATCAATCAGCTAATGTGACGGGTTTTTTTCCCCATAGCAGTGTAATATAGAACATATCAGTATGTTTTATTTGAACCATGATGTACCTTAAAAAATAATGTACTTTTCAAATGGACTTTTTAGTTTGTAACTTAACGGAGGCTGTAACCAGAATATGCCACTCAGTTTTTAATATCAAGGGCTCTCATGGTGTGATTATTAAAATAACATTGGCAGTTGACACTAGTAAAGGACTGGCATGTTCCTATGAGTGGCTCGGAGGCCATCATCAGTCACAATTTGACCTAAAGTTTTTTAGTTCGGTCTAATTTGTTCATAAAACCCATAGCTTTATCACAACTGTTCAGATGCCTGTGTCAAATTGGCAAATGAGTAAGTGGTTTCAGTAATTTTCATCTATATTTTGAACAATTGCAGTGATAAAACATTTTTATTTGACCCTCTTAACATTTAAAATAAATCAATCCTAGAATAGGTAAGGACATGACATTATCTTTCACTTACTAAATCAGTGTTTTAGGACATTTTTGTGTTTGTGGATTTGTCAAAAATTACAGCTAACAAAAACAAGAAATCATTTGCCTCTTTCATGAGCACACTACAATGTTATTTTGAACCCTAAATCTCATACCAGTGGTTTTCAACCTATGGGTCGTGACCCCTTTTGGGATCGAATAGCACTTTCACAGGCGTTGCCTAATAGATCCTGCATAGCAGATATTTACATGACGATTCATCACAGCAGCAAAATGACAGTTATGAAGTAGCAATGAAAATAATTTTATGATTGTGGGGTCACCACAACATGAGGAACTGTATTAAAGGGTCGCAGCATGAGGAAGGTTAAGAACCACTGTCGTAGACAATGGCAAGTATATATTTTCAGTGATTAAATCAATTCTCAAGAACATGAAGCCATTCAGAAAGGGAACTTCTGTTGGAGATAAGATACACAATATCACTAAACTTCTCATTCAGCTTCTTCTCCCAACCTTTCCATATCTTCCAAAACACTTATTCCATGGAAAATAAATCCCTCAGGTCACAGCCATGCTGCTGGAGAAGATGTTTGAAAGTACCATGGCCGTGAAAAGACCAAACAAAGCCCTCTTGGAAGAAGTGCAGCCCAAATGCTCGTTAGATGTCAGGCTAGCTAGACTTCATCACACGTACTTTGGGCATATGTTCAGCAAAGACCACTCCCTGGAGAAGGCCACCACACTTGTTAAAGTAGCAGCGTGTCAAAGAGAGACCTTTGGCAAGACGGATCGACACAGCGGCTGCCTCGATGGGCTCATATATAAGAACAATTGAGAGGCTGGCCCAGGCCTTTCCGTGGTGCACGGAGTCACTGAGTCAGAACCCATGGGAGAGCAACTAACAACAAAGCCGCCTCATTTGCAACAAGCTTCCCACACTCCTTTACCGGAATGGGTCCGTAGCTTCTGTGGTGAGCAGAATAACGGCCCCCAGCCGCCCCCACACATACACCCATCCCCCTGCCCCGCAAGATGTTCCCATCTCAGTCTCTGGAACTGAGGACTCGTTTCCATTCAAAAGGGAATTTGAAGATGTGATTCAATTAAATCCTTATTCTAGAGTTTCCTGGTGGCCCAAACTCCCTGCCCTCGAGTCAGTGCTGACTCACAGTGACTCCTCAGTGGGCGCCTGGGACTGTTAACTGTTTATGAGAGTAGAAAGCCCAGTCTCTCTCCCACGGAGCTGCTGTGGATTGTGAACTGTCAACCATTACAGCCCAATGTGTAACCACTACACCACCAGGACGCCTATGTAACGATAAGTCTTTAAAAGTCTAGGGATGAGATGTTATGATGGGAGCAAAGAAGCAGTGACAGAATGCAATAAGGACCTGGTCACTTTAAAGAGCCACGGAATGTGAATGGCGCCTACAAAAAGCAAGGGAGTGGCTCTCTTCCAGAGCCTCCAGAAAGAAGGTAGCCCTGCTGGCACCTTCATGTAACCCAGCGACACACATCTCAGATGCCCGATCTACATAATTTTGAGATAATATGTTTGCACTGCTTCAGGCAACTAGATTTGTGATAAAAC